TAACAGGGCTATAGCTAATACATAAATGAACGGATGTGGCTGTGTTCCAGTAAAACTTTATTTCAAAAAGAGGCAGCAGGCCAGAGTCGGCACACGGGCCACATGCGTGGACCCCCGCTAGAACATCAGCTCCGTAACCGCAGAGAATTTCATCTGTTTTGTTAACTGCTGCATCTTTTGAGAGGCAAGAACTGTACATGGCCCTTAATACTTGCCTAATAAATATTTGTTGAGCGAACTAATTTAATCCCCAGAACAAGCATATGAGTTAAACACTCTCATTTTATAAATGAGTATACTAAAAAAAATGATCTGCCATACCATCAGTAAGTGACAGAACTAGTATTTTAAGCATAGGTCTAATCCCTAAATTCTGTACACTTTCCACTACATTACACTGATATGGCAAAAGTATTACTGAATAACTGTAAAGACATAATACCACACATACATATTTTCTCCACCATTTTCCTTACCTCTGGTTTGTTGAACAAGACAAATATGTTAATCCATCTCTACATCTGTATGTTTATATATTTATGCTTAAATCTTTATATTTCTATATCTGTATCTATGGATTTAATATTTAGACTATACTTGATGCAATTAAACCACTAGATTAAATCTTTTTAATTTTTAAATTTTTTCCCAGCTTTATTGAGATATCATTGACATAACATTGTTTAAATCTTGAACGCAAACCTCTTTAGTTGTACAAACAGAAGACTAGAGAGTTAGCTTTATTTAAAAAAGACACAACTCGAATACCAAACCAATTTTATGCACTCATACATCTAGCATAACATGAGTACACCAATTTGTATTTCTTCTTTTAAAATGCACAAAGAAATTAAAAAACTGTGAGGGAGAAACAAACACAATACGTCCTGTTTTCCTTTGCCTTAAGACTCCCTCGTTTCAATTCTCCCCACACAGAGGGAGCAGACCCTTGACTGCTGTGTTGCTCACACGGAGCAGCCGTGTCCGGCGGGCCGTGGTTGCACGCTTTCCGTGACTAGCTTCCATTGCTGCTCATACACATCTGCTTCCCTTCACAAGTCAATAATCTACGGCAGCTGTTTTCCAAAAATAGGCATTAGGAAAGCCAGAGCAGTTCTGAATGCAGATTCAACGAGCTACACATCTGTCCACATTTTCATAGCTTGCCTGGGGTTTTACCGTCGTCACGATAATCAGGGAACTCGAAGGAGCCAATGACTATTTTGTCACATTTTCTCTCTTTGGATGCTCAGGGCAGAATTTTTAAAACTCTGTGTACAGGAGACCAGCACTGCATACTAAGAAGCTATGAAAGGATAAGACAAAGAGTATCCATACCATTTGCCTGCCTTAAAAGCGTAGTGTTTATTGTAATCTGACATCGTGATGATTGATGGGGACACCATGATGCAGAGAAACTCAAGGCTTTACAACCATTGAAAGATTATTCAACTCAGTAAAAAGATAAAAAGTATATGAAAAGTGATATAATAAAGCCAAACTTTTCAGCTTAACTGCCAGATCTTGCAATAAAAATATATCTAAATTTTAATAATCAACATAAATCTTTGGGACAAACAGAAATAGATTGTTCACTGAAACTTTATATAAAGAGGATAAGCTGTATATTATCCATAACCAATAAGAGCAAGAAATGTGTCCTCAAAGGGTTTAATTTTTGGTACTTGAATATGAGCTCATGATAAGCAGGTTGTACTAGCTACTGTAAAACATAGTCTTGCTTACGAGAGTGTACTTTAAGGCAAATATTCCCTCTTTAATGTTAAGAAACAGAGCACTGAAGAAGATAAAAATAGCCACTATTTATGGAGTGCTTTTAGTGGCCACTTTTCATTTTCTTCTCAATTAATCCTAACAAAAACATGTGCTCGGGATTGTATGATTTGTTAGGGAGAGAACTGAAATTCAAATTTATTACAAACTAAAGCTCATGGTCTTGACTCTTAACCTATTCTGCATTCGAAAGAGTCAAAATATACACTATGCATCACATATGAAGAATCCAAGAAGTGATTATCAGTTACGAAAGGAACAAAAGAAAAGCTCACCAGAAATAACACTACTGAGGTGCCTGGGTGGCTCAGTCAGTTAAGTGCCCAACTCTTGGTTTCAGCTCAGGTCATGATCTCAGGGTTGTGAAATTGAGCCCTATGTCGGGCTCTGAGGTAGGCATGGAGCCTGCTTAAGATTCTCTCTCTCTCTCTCTCCCTCTGCCCCTCCCCACGCCCCCTGCTCACGTTCTCTCTCAAAAAAAAAAAAAAAAAAAAGAAATGACACTACCAACTTCCACTACCAAAAGAGTGGAACCAGACACAAGTACACTTTTTATGCTTAGTTTTTGTTCCTTCGGAACTCCAGAGTTCTCCATCACCACCCCACCAGGTCCAGTCATTTGGAAACACATGAGCGCTGACAGTATTAAGAAAATTATAAAGTAACAAACCACTGATATTTTAATCACTCACAGGAATCTCCACAGGATATGTAAAGATGTGATACATGTTGAAAAATCTTTCCTACACAGGACAACTACAGAATGTATGTGAGAGCTTTCAGCCTCTCTGTGTGTTAAACCATAATATAAACAAAACATATACTGACTTTTTAAAGATGCCCGTGTTCCCCGAAGACAAAAATGTGTTGAACATGTTTCTGCTCCATGCTAATGACCACTGTGCAAATTGATTTCAAAACTGGTTAACAGTCCAAAGAAACAGACATATTTAAAACTCGATTGTTTCTGTTCATAGTAACTAATTCTATTCCCTTCTCTGCCAGGTACCCCCAACTTCTTTTTCTCGCGTTACCACGTAATAATAAGCCATTTATTTAGCTGTACTGTGTGTCAAACTCATATACATCATCTACAAAGTGATATGTACTTCGTATACATTACATCATTCATTCCTTTATATAACCCTATAAAGTAGGTAGTATCCTATCATATCCATTTTACAGATGAAGAAAAGCAGGCAACTGCTTCAGGTACACTGCTAGCAAGGGACAACACCGGGTTTCCACCCATGTCTGTCTCACTACAGGGCCCTTGCTCTTACCCACTAAGCTATGAGAGCCAGACAGGACACCTGAAATAATCTAATCTCCAATCCTCATTTTATCGATAGGGATGCTTAAACCTGAAGAGTTTAAGTGACATGTTCAAGGTGACACCTTGATTACTGGGTAGAGTCAGGGCTAGAACCCAGGGCTTACATTTTTATGTTCCTTCTACTACTCCATATGGCCTTTTTCTAAAATTTGAAAATAGAAATATATTCTGATTCTCTATACAAATAAGTATTCCCAGAAACTGTCGATCTGATTCACCGTACAACATTCAGGAGATCCTCCCTAATTTCTCTGAAGCCTCCAAAAGCTGCCAACTCTTACAACCATGGCTGATTTAGAATGATAAACATGTTTAAACTAAAATAACAATATATTCCATAGTTTGCTAAGGGTTCTTATTAGTAATGGTTCAATGATATTTCTCCCTTACATTTTATTTCTTTTATTATTTTTATTTTAAATAAACTCTATCCCCAATGTGGGGCTTGAACTCATAACCCTAAGATCAAGAGCAGCATGCTCTACCGACTGAGCCAGCCAGGTATCCTTCTCCCTTACATTTTAAATGTGATTTATGATTATTCTTTAATATACTGGTTCTCAAACTTGGCTACAAGGTTGCTTTTAAAATGCTCAGTGCCGGGGCGCCTGGGTGGCCCAGTCAGTTGAGCGTCTGCCTTCATCATGATCCCGGGGTCCTGGGATCAAGTCCCGCATCGGGATCCCTGCTCAAGAGGGGAGCCTGCTTCTCCCTCTGCCTGCAGCTCCCCCTGCTTGTGCATTCTCTCTCTCTCTATCAAATAAATAAATAAAAAATAATAAAATAAAACACTCAGTGCCTAGGCTACATCCCACATTAATTAAATTGGAAAACTCTGGGAGTGGGACCCAGGCGTCAATATTTTTTAAAACTGTCAGGTGATTCTAATATGCAACCAAGTTTGAGAACCAATTAAATTATTAATAATTTAATAATTATTCAAACTTTAAAATAATATTTCATGGTTTATTAGATCAAAAGAGCTCTCTAACACTGTCATCAACTATATTAATTCACCTTCCTCAAAAAATTACCAGAGAAAATAATCTAAGCGATTTCAGAAAAACTTTCAAATCATAGAACACCAGCATCAGTTGCTTAAACTCCTTATAGCTGACGATACAGAAAAACACACAGAAATCCTTAGGTATACACACAGAAAGAGTAACCTGAGCTACCAGCCAAAATGAGCTCATAATCATGGACATGCATTATTTGTTTCCATATACATATCAAAAAGCAACAACCTGGAATGTAACAAACCACACTCATAAATTAAGTCAACTGATTGCAGTCCTTTTTCCAAAGCTGATTCTAAGTGGTTTTTCCTTGATTTAGGCCATTAGTAAGTGAAAACTGTTTGCATTTCACAAGCATGTTTAAACATCACAAGTTTTGTACTCTATAACAGAAGACAATGTGATTGATTACAGATGAGGTCACATGACCAACCAATCAAGAGAGGTTTTTAATCACCATGAATAAGAAAATATAGCATCAACATAAAATTAATGAACTTGTTAACTGTTCTTTCTAGTTATAAAAAGAGCTATAACAAACATTGGTATTTCTTATTTTTATCAGAATTAACCCATTTATTTATAATCTTCCCCAGTTCTCTGTTCCTCATGGAAAATTATGTTTTGGTCCTGACCCTACCTTTTTAGTTCCAACTACACAGTAAACAGGCAAAGTCAAATAGTTCTCAGTAGCTGTTCTAACAAAATTTGACTAAAATATTAAATATTATTAAAATATTTCCTTATTTTTATAATAATTATATAGTGCTCTCATAGCAATTCAACAAGATTTTGCTTAAAAAATAATTATGGTGACCCAAGCATAAATTAGAAGAAAAATGTCTACTTACAGGTATCATCCAGTTAGCCAGGTCACCATATTTGGAAACCTGCATTGCTCCTAGCATTGTTAGATTGACATGCCCCCTGAGAGAGAAAAAGGAAATATAAAGCAAACTTCACAAGCTTTATGTCCCATTTGCTTGAAATTGCCAGCAATTAAAATAATTCTATACCCTCCAAAATAAATTTGCTTTCTCCCACCCAACACCCGATTTTCCAAATCAATCAGCTCAAGCTGAAGTAGAGAAATAACCATTAAGAGTTCTTGAAAAAAAGTATAGCTTATATTGTCTCCAAAAACAAATTAAAAACAGGTGTACACAGTGACTTTGTTTCCTTTGGTGAGGGGGAATGTGGCTTGATTTGAAGGCAAACACTAGCTAGAAAATGAAAACACAGTTTTGTAGAAAATGTGAGGATCCTCAGAAAGAACTTTAAAAATGTTTACTTCAATATTCTCAGCACATAGATATATATTCCATTTGGGGGGTTCTTTTAATAACAGTGAGTTCAATGTTCCAATTCCCAACATTCAATGTGAATAATTTCCTATCCTGGTGCAGCTGAATGAGCCCATGACCATTTTCTGGCTGGGAGACGTGGCTACGTTTCGGAGCCTTGCTAACATGTTCAGGGGATGACTCAGTTCATTCCATGCCATGTGAAACATGAGGGGTTCCGTTGTTACATACCCTCTAATCATCGCAAATGATTCATCGCTGGAGAAATAAGAGGCTCCTGGAAGAACAGTAACTGTTTCCTTGCCTAAACACACATACACAAGAAAGGAAACAAAGGAAAGAAAAAGCTATTAGATTTCTAAGAGTGGAAATCACGCAGAGAGAGGTCTATACCTTCTCTGCTTCCTAAAGAACTGAGGCCCCTTTAACCAAACTGCTGTGGCAATGGGGCTGTGGGAGACACAGTGGGAACTGTTGCCCTATGAGGAGGAGTATTTAGTCAGTGGCACTGTTCAGATTTGCCCCTGCACGGTGACAGCAGAAAGCAGACCAACTTTTAATTTTATTATTGTTTTTGAAATTCTCTACAAAGCACCCCCTGTCGCCTCTAACCATTCCCACCTCTCCCCAGCCCCACTCCCTCCACAAGCCCCTGCAAAATGCTGATGAGAGTGAGGGAAAAGGTGTCCCTGGGATGCACCTGTCAGAATCCAGTGCTACTGTAAGTCACTGGAGCAAAGAGATTGTGGAATAAGCATGAAGAAACACAACTTTGAAGGAAATGACACAGAAGATACTCCTCAGATGTTTCTTAAAAATCAAGAAATGATCTCGAAAGTGAGGTGCCCCCTAATTCCTTAATATCATTAGGCCTGAATCTCTTCTTTTAATCTCTCTCAGCCTCATATTTCCTTTCTTGCTCCTGTTTCTGTTAAAACTCATAGGACTTTGATGAGATCAGGAAATAGCATCCTAATGCTGGCTCACATATTTAATGGTAACTTCCAAGAGGTCCTCTTGGAAAGACCTCTTCCAACACTTATACTTCATAATCAAAGTTCACAGCTGGAAAGGATCTTCAAGGTCATCCAGTCCCCACACAACCAATCGTATCACCTGCCTCATATACTTCAGCTGTTTTCTTTTTGTGATCCATTTCCTGTTTGTCCAGTGCCCAGGAGGAAGCTTCTGGTCTTAACCAGAAAAGCGCTCACATGCCACTTTGCCAAACAGAACTCAACTGTATGAGAACACCACATGCTTATCCAAGTGTAATAAAGCCGTCAAAAAGAAGGGGAAGAGAAGTTATGATTCGAGGGCTGGACCGAGAAAAGCTGGACCAGAGTGGTCAGATCATGCCCAGGTGTGCAACGTAGCTGTACCCTCACAGCTTCCCAAGCCTTGCCTGAAAGCTAAATTCTCTAATGACATCCCTCTCCATTTGAGCTCAAGTAGAGAGAAAGAGGCTATTTTTATCAAGCTGAAATATTTATTCCCCAAGGGAGTTTGATTCTAGACAGGGGAAACATTTTCACATCTTCCGAAGTACTATAAAGATGAAAGGTTTGGAAAATACTTTCTGGTGTGGTCAGTAGGGGCTTTTAGGAAGCACATAAGATTTGGATAATGCATGCAAAGTCCTTACTACAGCACCTGGCACAGAGAAAGGACTCCATAAACACCAGCTTTTATTACTGTCATGTTTATTATTCCTCACTCCAAACCAACTTTATAAAAGAGACAATGCCATCGCCCCTCTAGGGATAAATGCTACAGGACCCAGCAACTGGCTTATATGGTGGAGTTATACAGCCAGCCTGGGAGCTCTAGGTTTCAGGACAGGTGAAATACAACTAAACTTGATCCTAATGCAACTTCCATATCCAGCAGATTTGGTTCCTCACCGTTCCTGTGAGGTGGATATGCAAGGACCAAGAATGTGTAGGACAAAAAAGCAGAGAAACATAAAAATCTCAATTCTTTGTTCTGCAGGTGCTAAATCACAATGACTTCTAAAGGGCAATCTCCACCAGCTGACAGTACATAGAAAGCATTATTTACCGCTCACAGGAAACCTGGAGATCAGTGCGAGGCTTTGGCTCAACCGATATGATTTATGGAGCATAGTTTTATTTAAGAGCCCAGAAAACAACGCTCATAAAAAATAGTTATTGTCAGGCACCTGCTAATACATTCTGGCATGTTATAAATTACATTCTCTGGAAGCCAAGTTAGTTGTCAGTATTTTTAAATATCCAATATCTAAATAAAAATAGATGTCCTGAAGTTGAATCCATGTTTTCAAATACAATGTCCAAATTTGGTCACAAAATAACTGTAATCAACATACAATCAATATCTTAATGAAAAAGAACTTTCTTATTTGACTATTCCTGATTAATTTCTGTTTCCTCCAGTTCTTCTCTGTGTCTAGATCCTTTCATGATATTTGGGCAAACACAGTTCTTCAATTTCATAGTTACTGAGGCCTTTGGCTCATGATTTAGCATCTCGTTTACTCAATATCAAGTAAATGGCTGCTTTGTGCCTTAAATAGTGTTACAAACCAAACACAGATGCCCTAAACTAATGGTTCTCCAACTTTAACACCCATCAGAATTACATGGAGGGTAGATCTCTGAGCTAAACTCCCAGAGTTTGTAATTCAGTAGGCTTGTGATGGGGCCTGAGAATCTCTATTTCTAATTAGTCCCTGGTGATGGTGATGCTGATGCTGTACCACACTTCGAGAACCACTGCCCTAAGCAAAAGGAATATACTATTCAGCTAGAGAGATAAATACACATGAATAGTTAATTACAAGGCAAAATGAGAGACACTAGATGTGTTATAGGTTCAAAGGAGGGGCATTTTTGAACCACAGAAGATCAAATGAACTGGGGCTTGAAGAACGGGTATAACACATTTTAATAGTAAATTACTGATAAGGAGATGGGGATGCAAAAAGAAGGGGACAGAACCAAAACTCTGATAGGCACAGGAAGAGCAAAGGCATGGAGGAAGGAAGGCATGAGTCACGATCAGAACAGATCCAGTAGTGCAGGATGGGTGGACAGGGGAGTCCTTGAAGGGTGTAGTGGAAGATGAAGCTGGAAAGGGCAGGTGCAACTATCAGATAGATCTTGAATGCTATACTATTTGTACCTTAGTCTGCAGGCCTGTGATCCTTCATCTGTGGCACAAGGGCCTCCAGAGAAGGCATTATTGACATTTGGAGCTGGATAACTCTTTGAAGGGGGCCTGTTTCAGTTATTGTAGAATAACTGACAGCATCCCTGACCTCTACCTACTCCCTGACGATAACACTGGCAATCAAAAATGTCTCCAGACATTGTCGAATATCCCCACTTGCTTACTGAGAACCAGTGCCCTAGAGGCACATGGCAGGGGCCAGGGATATTTATAAGACATGAGGTTAACATGGTGGTTCATTCTAAAGCAGTTTTAATCAAAGGTAAGTCATTTAAAACACTGTATATTAAAAGAAAACACAATTAAGAAATAGAGAAGACAGATGGTTAAGTGTCTGCCTTCAGCTCAGGTCATGATCCCAGGGTCCTGAGATCGAGCCCCACGTCGGGCTCCTGGCTCAGCGGGGAGCCTACTTCTCCCTCTCCTTCTGCCTCTCCCCCTGCTCATGATCTCTCTCTCTCTATCTCTGTGTCTCAAATAAATAAATAAATAAATCCTAAAAGAAATAGAGAAGAATGCAAAATGTACATTAATATGAAAGCTGAAATGTGAGACTCACTGGAAATTTCACAATTGCATCAGAATACTGCAACTCTTAACAGGACCTCTGAAATGTTGCTGTAAGCACAGCCTTCTGCCCCTTTGTAAAACTTAGGTTAGCAGTGGGTATAGTGCAATGTGTAGAGGAAAAGGCCAGGAGACTATGTGTGAGTCCAGTCCTAGCAATGGGATCCTGGGGACATCACATCACTATTCTGGGCCTCAGTTTCCCAATCTGTACAATAAGTTTTCACGTGAGGCTCAAATGGTATATAAGTATGAAAAAGTATGCTGCAAACCAAATAGTGCTGTAAGGTGGTAATTCATTTTTTCATAACCTTGAGATTATTTAGAAGGGATCCCTAGAAATAGTTGTGTTATTTTAAAATTTTAATACACTGATTATACCCAGAAATAGAACTCTTTGTATTTATTCCAAGGGATTTCTATAAAAATCCTTTCAGGGACACCTGGGTGCCTCAGTCGGTTAAGTGTCTGCCTTCAGCTCAGGTCACGATCTCAAGGTCCTGGGATCAAGTCCTGCATCAGGCTCCTTGCTCGGGGGGGGAGACTGCTTCTCCCTCTGCCTGCCACTCCCCCTGCTTGTGCACTCTCTCTCACTCGCTCACTCTCTCTGATAAATAAATAAATAAATAAATAAATAAATAAATAAATAAATAAATAAATTCTTTAATTAAAAAAATCCTTTCAAATTAATACAAGCAAGGGGCTGATCTTCCAGGTAACTTCCAAATTTGGGGAGTTGAGGAGACCACCAATATATATTCTGGGCTCTTTAGCTTGAAGTATTTCCTCCCTAATTTAGACAGCTCCAAAATCAAAAGTAACACAAATCCTAAGCAGAACTTGGATGAAAGAGTTAAAATATTAATAAGGTGATTTGCAGCTTGGTTTCCCAAAAGCAATGAATTATTGTTTTACAAAGCAATCTAAGACTATGCATGGTATTTCAGGAGTTAAAATATAAAACTAGTGGCTTCATTACAATTGAGTTACTTTTAAGCTCATGGAATCAGAAATGCCTACTGTCCAATAATCACTGAAAAGATTAACTACTTTTCCAAGGAAAGTGGGTTCTATGAACTCAGGCCTAAAATTTGGAAAACGGAGTTATTCATTTTGCAAGTAACTCACTAACATCATAAATTAATCAAACCAAGCAGCAAATATTTTCACAGACCAATGAGCTATTGCTAAAGGGTACAGTACAATTAAATTACAGCCTTAGTTAAATGTCATTGCTTTATCACAGTGGGCCTTTCAGGGTTGAGTCGTGTTAGCTAATTCAACTATTCAACCAGAAGCGGTTTTACTTCCAAAAATTCTAAGTTTCAAACATCAATTCTACTTGGCAGCTGGCCTTTATGTTCAGCTAATATTGCTGCTCTTCTGAGATTTTCATGTACTATTTTTGAATGTGAAGTACGAATAATACTTTTGTGGGGGTAGAGTGAATTCAAGAGTAAAAGAGGGTAAAGAAAACATGCTAGAGTATAAAAATTAGCTTCTTATGAGCAGCCTCAATGTAAGGATAACCTTCAGCCCCAAAAAGCATGGGCAGTCACAATGGCCAAAGGGTCTGGCTTGGTTTTTTCTCCTCTAGGCTACTACTACATGCAACTGTATGTCACAGTCAAATAAAAGGCTTAATAATAAAAGGCAAAGCATATAAATGTGGGAATGAAGAAGACAGGCTAGAGTGACAGTTCAAAAATCTCTATTACTCACATCACTGGGTTGTACTTAGTGGCAGAGTACAACTCTAAATAATCTTGAACCTCTGAAGGATATGCTCTTCTATTCCAATGATGACTAGGGGACAGTAAGTATTGCTCAGAACAAAAACCCCTGTGTGCCAGATCTTTTCTTTTTGCCTCTATGGATCCACTTGTCATCCTTCACATCACAAGAAGGCAGACATATTTCAACCTGGGATTGGCCAATGGAAGGCACAAGAAGAAGATCCAGTAGAGAAGACCCCCACCCCTCGTCCAGGTTTCTGTAAGATGGCTGCATTCCTCTACCAAAGGCCATAGACCCTATTAGGTGGCCCTCTCCCACTGCTGTCCCTTAAGGTCTCAGGGTGACAATAACTCCCTGTGGTGCTTCACCATCCTTTCCTGGTTTCCCTCAATCTTAGTCATACCCTTGTAAATTGTCCTTTCCTTTAATTCTCATTACCCCATTTGGGGAGTGCTCTCTATGTATAGCCTGGACCCTGACTGATTGACCCACCAAAGCTCTTGCCATTATATGTAGCCCCACCTGCAATTTCTCCATTATTTGAGTCTTCCCTAAGTAAGAGATGATCTCTGAAGAGCAAGCCAGGCAAAGAAGAGACTGGGAAGGCTTCTCTCCCCCCTCCTCAGTGAAAAACACAATTGGAGCACTCTCCAGGAAAAGACAAAGAAATCACACCCAACTCCTTTCTCTTATTTGGCAAAGAACTAAATTAACAGCAAAGGAAAACACTGGAAAAACATGTAATGAGGGAGTTTACCTGCATTGATTAGATCTGCATCAACTTCATTTTGTAGTGGATATGGACCCTGTCAAAGCACACACTGAATTAGTAAGTTTCTCACTGAATAACATATTAAAATCATAACAAAAACAACTTCTCTAAGAACCCTAGGAAATTACTATCAAAAGACTTGAGATGAACCTTTTAAAAATAATTCCAGTATTTTCATGGCTGTTGCTCATATTGATTAGTCTTTCCTATACTAATAACTGTGATAAAAACTATTTCTTAAAAATTACCAAAGTTTGAAAGAAATGTTACATTATTAGAAATATAGGTCAAATAAAACAAAAAGTTAATTATTTAGTACGTACTATGCAGTCAATGTTACTCATAAATCTTCCTGGTGGTATCAGTGACTACAAACAAAATGGCTGCCTTATTTGACCAGAAGGATGCAGAGGCAAAGTTTCATCTTTTTGGTATGCAGCATCTAAAGGCTCGAATTTGGAGTCCTATCCTTATCTCTCACAACACCTAAGTTTTGATGCCCTTATTTTCTCTTTGCCTGGTTACTCCCAGTTTTGCTTTTTAATGTTGTATGTATTTTTATAAGGCATCTCTACATTACTTGAATGGGGTGAGTAGTTTCATAACATAACATATAGTAAACAAAACAGGAGGAAATGGAAAAAGGAGTCGGGGAGGCAATAAGACAGAATCAAGAGTGAGGAAATCTGAGCTGGGAAATTCTAACATGCTTTCAAAAAGAGGGACCAAATAATGTATCGTTTAAATAAACTGAAGTGGCAACTAACGTTTTAGGACTATGTAAATTTTCCCTTTAAACACTGACCATGGATAATATACATCAACTCATTTCCCTTGTCTCCTAAATGAGGGAATTGATCACTCTATAAATAATCACATTTTTAAGATATGGGAGTCTTTGACTGCAATATGAATCTTTTATCCAGACTCATATCAGTTTTGTGCTTCTGAAGATGGTCATGATTACTGCCTCAATCAGTATCAACTATATGCTCATGATCACTATTTATGTCTTAAAGACGAGATATACACTTTCCATATATACAATTTTTATTGCATTAACAGTTAAGATCTACTGAGAACAACAGAAGGTTAGAAATCTTATAAATTGGCCAAACTATAAATAATCTCTGCCATAGTTAATATTACATTAAAAATGTCATCCAGAAAACAAAAGTATTTCTTATTATTATAGTATTGAATTAAAAGTATATCCAAATTCTGTGAGAATGTTGAGCTCATCTGGAAGGTTAATCTTGAGGAAGAGAAAAATTCTTCCCTTTTGAACAACATGGCCTCAAAATGAGAATTAGCTAAGAAGAATTTTTTTGAATTAATCAAAAAATGTCCCTGTTCCTCAAGTAAAAACCTTACTTTTCAGTTTCTCATTCAGAGTCTTATTGATCATTATTTAAATACAGAATTTTTTATGACCTTCATTATCTTGTCCAACCACACAAAAATTAAAGTTATCTAAACAGGACACTGTGAGGTCTCTCTGAAGCAGGTACACGAGGGGAGATAGACACTGACAAGCTGACACAGGACAAACAGAAAGCTCAGATAGTCAGGAAACTACCTTAAAAATAAGGCTGGGAACTTTAACAACTCATAGAAGATTTCACTAGATGGACTATCTCGTTTTCCACCGAGACTGGATAAATAAAACATTAATCTGTCTTACCAAACCCAGGATTCCATTTTCACTTTGCAGATGAACTGTGATATTTGGGCTGATAAAGTTGCTGGCCAGAAGTGGGATTCCTATGCCCAAATTAGCTGGGGAAAAAAGATGTTAAGGTCCACTATATAAAAGGTAAAAAGATTATGCCATAAATCTGCCACATATATAAATCTGAACTTCTGAACTTTAAGGGCACTTGCTCTGAATGTAATCACTGAATACATTCTCTCCTCACTCTCCAGGCACTATTTTGTAATCTCTTTAAAACAAAATCTCTAATTTCAATAACATTAATGTGCTTTCCTATAAAGATATCAAAGTGGTGGCTTCAGAGGTCATTTTTATTGTAAGACATATTTTATTTTCATTAATGCGCTTAGCAAATTTGAACTGGTAGATTAGGACTTATTGTGACTGACATATTATTAAACATGCCTTGACCTTTGTTTAAAAGTAATTTTCACTATTCAAAACTCCAAAATATAACAATGACTTAATATTCTCAAAAAGGGGTATCATTTTTAAATTAAAAAGAAAGTTTTCTGACAATACCAAATTTGTCTGTCTAAAACCATAATGATTCCTTTGGGTCACTGGGATAACATTCATTGGTAACTGAATTCTTCAAGATACAAAGAAGAAGGAGGAGGTGACTAAGTTTCAGTGAATATAATTGAGACTATATAAAAAGTAGCTAAGCTAAAGCACTGAAGAGCTGAGAGTTTGACTCTTCTTCCTCAAATGATCAAAACTGGGTCCTGATTTGTCTGTAATGGTGTAGATTTAATCTTGTCTCCCAACACAAACAGGCTGATCAAATCAGAGACACCCACACCACCTGGAACTGCTGTCCATACTGTCCACTACCACCACACGCTGCAGGACTGGCCAGAATTAGAGCAAAGAATGATGGCACTCTGATGAGATTCCAGGAACAGTGAGATCTTTATGAATCAGAGCCAGAAAAAATAAGGTTTGTATGTGATGCAATATTACAGACTATGAAGGCTGGCAAGACGATTCAATGAACCAAAACACTGCTTGTAGACATGTTAACTCTAAGAAGCTCTGACAATACTTGGTTCGTTTCTTACCAAATCACAATCTAGTGTAGTGTAGTTGGTACTTTGTTTCTCACAGTGATGTACAGATCACACTGAAATATTAATTTCATTATGAGCAAGTTTTTTCAGATAAGGGAACCCCAATGACAAGCTTCATACCTGAATTCTTTCACCATATTCTATAATTTTTTCAGTTCTTTAATGCTTTTTAGTGGGTCAAATGCCAGGGATAAAGAAGTCTGTGTACTCTGGGTTGAAAAAAGTGGGTAGTATGGAGAGACCATTTATATGAACTTGCAAATATTTTTCATAGGCAATACAATAACAGCGAATAAGAACACCTAGAAGCCATTACTAACTAAAATTAGTGGTATCATATAGTCAGTGTTTAAATGTCAGTGGGAAAACAATTGACTGGAGGTCAGAAGAAAACACAGGACCTAGCTTTCACCTGCTAGGTTAACTGGTTGATGCTCTATCTTGCTGATATAGGAGCTGAAGAGGAGGTACCATTATATTCCCCTCCACCATGTGAATTCTCTCCATAACACAACGTATAAATTGGAAAACAAAGAAAAACGAGGTGGTGGAGGTAAAAATAAAGTAGAAAAAGGGAGTTTCCCAAGTCAGTATCAGTCTGAAAGATGATATTTATGGACGGGGGAAGCTCGCAGAATGTTGACCCTTGACATGTTTCTAGATCCTCCTTTAGGAACTTTAAGTATGGCTTTAGTGTATTTACCACTCAACAAATATTTATTTTATCAAACACTATTTGTATTTATACGCAGTATTTGTTATTGTATAGTTCAATGTTTGATGTACTGAAAATCAACAAAATGGCAAAGAGACTCACTGTTAAACACATTCGAAAACTGAATAGTAATGGTACTAAATTATCTCAATCTACCTTTTTTTTTTTTGACAAAGTATCTAAAGCAAAATTTGAATCATTCATTGAATACCCTTACAAAGCATTAGACATAAAAGGGTACACTCATGGGATCCTTGTCAAAGGCAAGAGGGGTTGTTAAGAAGTTGGATCTTATGTTTCAATGAGTATGCAAATGTCAGAACATAGAGAAAGTAAATAGCACTGTTATAACTAGTACTTCTGAGATTTGAAACCCTCATCTTGGGTAATCTCTTTTCCCAATAACCTTTAGCAAAATGCCAAACTGTATATTAGAAATCCATTGTATAACAGAAAATAGCTAAGCAAATTTTGGTTGCCATTTTGTTTCAAGAAGGCAAACAGATTATAATTCCAATTTCATATACCTCGATATCTTTAGGTTATATGCCACATTTTTAAAAAATTGATCCATTGCTTTAAAAGTTAAAGTGAACTGGAAAAGAATCACTATGCAGGAGGCCTAGCAGCCTGATGAATATAGAAAAAGGGAGGACTATGTCTCTGCCCAGCCCCAGAAAGATAAAGGATACCATACATGCCATCCTCAAATTCAAGAGCTGCCCGCTTGATGATACGTTCCCTTACATTATCTCCAGGTTTACTGGATTTGGTTTTTACATCTTCCTCTTTTCGGACCGATAAACGCTTTAAAATAAACAGAAATAAATTATTCATGGTTGAAGTATACCTTGAATTTTATTACTGCTGAAATATAAAATTTCACCAGAAAAAAATGTTAAGTCTCTCCCATTACTACTATGAGGCAAATCTATAATACAACAGAGAGTTCTTTTTTAAAGAATAACATCGGTGGTATTTGATGACAGAAATAATTTTTTAGAAAGTGAAAGAGGTCAGATTTGTTTGAAGAAGAAGATATACTTGTTCTGTTTTTTGAAGCAAATAATCCCTCTGTTACTGTCACACTGACTGCTACTACTATTACTTTTATTAAGACTTCTGCAATTGAATTCTCAGGTGCTCAAGGACTGAACCAGAACCAAGAAAAGGAACAGACCCTGGGACTCTGTTTTTGCAGGGCTGTCAGAATGCTTTTACCAGGTGTTGCTACTGTGAATTGCATATTTCCACCTGCAGAGTTTGGACTGGTTTTGCTACAAGTGCATCACGGGAATCATAAAAATATCCAGAAACCAGCCAGGAAACTATTTCCATTACTAAATCTCCTTGACATAGACTCTGGTTTCTATTTGCAAATGTCCCACATCCTTTCTCCCTAGCCCCCTAACATTAGTATTAGATTGCAAAATCTCTCTGTTTGACACATGGCTGATGGTATCTCTGATTGCCCAGTATCTCCTACTGGATGTCTATTCTGTTGCTGCTCCCTACACAGCTGTGAATCTTGATATCAATTCTGGCCCAGCTGAACATTCTTTATGCTCTCAGTAGCCTTAGAATACTTCCACTGCTCCTGGTACCTACTCCTTGCCATGATCTCATATCTACCAGCTGCCCAGAGCCTGGTGCTAATGGGAATGACATTCTGGACTTTATAAAGTGCAAAGCAACTTCAAGAAAGACACTTCTGAATAATCAAACACTAAGTCCAACAGGGCTAAAACCTTCTCTACCCTAGGACAGCCAGTCAAAACTATGCATTATAAATTAGGATAGTTACAGAAGCCTGAAGACACAGCTCAGAGAATCACATAACTTGGTGATATACACTTGGTAAACACAAGTCACTGTTGGACTAGACAATAACACAGACGATCATGTCCCCTTAGGATGGACACATGAGAAGCTCCTACTAAGATCCAAAGCAAACTTTCCATTCAGCTCTAATTCCTTATCATCTGGAATAGCCCCAGGGGCACATATCTCTGATAATCAGGTTTATAAATACTAACAAAGAAGCTAAGTCAATTACCTCAATTCTTTTCTCATATTTTTCTCCCTTTATAAGGCGATGTACATAAATCTTAGGAATATGGATATCTTCTGGGGCAAATGATCCAATATCCACAATTTCTTCAACCTAGGCAAAAAGAAAAAAAAATTTAAGTAGAGCTTAAACTGAACATTTTTTATTTTTAAAAAAGTGAAGTATATGCATTGTTACCTCCAATTTAGATTATATATACAGTGTAAAAAAATACATATAAGGGTGCCTGGGTGGCTCAGTTGGTTTAGCAACCAACTCTTTATTTCGGCTCAGGTTGTGATCTCCAGGTTGTGAGATCGAGCCCAGAGTCTGGCTCCACATTCAGCAGGGAGTCTGGGATTCTCTCTCTTCTCTCTCCCCCTCCCTCTCTCAAATAAATAAATGGATCTTAAAAAAAATAATACATATACCCACACACATACACGTATATATATCAAAGAGAGACAGAATATATTACACACACATACTTTTAGACCCACAAAAAAAGAAGAAATTCAAATTTCTTCATAAAATACAGAATATAAATCTCCAAAACTTAGTCTTTGCCTAAAAGAGTCTCAGTTACAAATCTGTCAAATGGTTTCTCAGTACAGCTGCTTGAACTTTCACAAACTGCAGCTCAAAATTTGAAAGCACATCCCTTAAGCCCTGATTTTCAAAATTAATGGGAGATTTATCATATCAAAGACAAAAATCTGTAACAACATCTTGCTTGGTCAATTGAAGAGCTTTTTAAATACAGATACAAATGCTATTTGTAACAGTTATTAATTATTTCTGTTATTAGCTTCCTAGGATTGTGACAGAACTGCAGTTGCTGAAATAATTTTACTTAAAGACAGATCTTAATTTCAATATGGAAATTCAAAAAGGCAATATCAACTAATAACTAGAATACTCAATGTAATTAGAATTAAAGTCATTCACAGAGCAAAAGGGCATTTTACAGCAGTATGAAATGCTCCAAGTTAGTCTGCTCTTTTGTAATTCATTAAAAAAAGACAACATAGCATTTTTATATCAATATAAAAAGACCCTCAGAATAACAATGATCAAGAAAAACTAAGGTTAATGCTGTTGGGGTCAAAGAATTATCTTTCTGGTACCAAGAAAAACTATTATCTTGAAGACTGGTGGGTGCTCAGTTCAATATATACCATACCCAAAGCAAAGAACTATTTGCTTAAATGAACTAACTTGTGCAAGGTGAGTTGCACATGCCTACTAAACTAATAACTGAACTCTCCAGAAGTTTCGAGGTCAAGTTGCACTTTTTATGCTATTTTACCCTGTATGCCCATACCATACTCCTCCAATGAAAGAATACCAGGGGTTACAAGAGTCATTTTAGTTATTTTGCACTGCTCCCACATAGCTGGAAAAAAAAAAAAAAGAATGTGGTAGATAAAAGCTATCTTCAATGATAATTAGAGGGTTCTTTTTTTTTTTTTAAAGATTTTATTTATTTGACAGAGAGAGACACAGTGAGAGAGGGAACACAAGCAGGGGGAGTGGGAGAGGGAGAAGCAGGCTTCCCGAGGAGCAGGGAGCCCGATGCGGGGCTCGATCCCAGGACCCTGGGACCATGACCTGAGCCGAAGGCAGACGCTTAACGACTGAGCCACCCAGGCACCCCGATAATTAGAAGGATCTTAACCAAAATCAAACAAAAATTCCAAGTAAGAGTCAGTAAACATGTGGGGATCCAAGCTGAAATAGTGGGTAGAGATGCATACCTGCATTCATCTGAGAATGAGTTAGAGGGAGGCAAGGGATTCCTCATCACTGTAATCTGTATCTACCCCCCTAAGGCCTCTCTATGCTCTGGTATTTCCAACTCAGGGTGGTGACCAGGGAAAGAGGAGGTGGATATAGGAAATGCGGAGCAGCTAGGCATTATCACTACTTCTTCAAATAGCTGGAATTTTAGCCATCAGAGTTCATTCATATTTTTATACGTATTTAATTCAAGCCTTCAAAGAGGCTCTGGACTTCAAAAACTTGTTTATACATTAACCCATTATCCTGAGGATTTATATGAAGACTTATTATTCACGAAAATATTGGCCACAGCATTTGGTAAAATAATAATGAGTTGGAAACAACCTAAGTCGTCCACAATAGGCTAATGGTAAAATATATATGGTACATCCACATGATGGATCAATACTTTAGTTTCCATACTTATGACACATCATAATTTAATGTTTCATAAAAATGAAAGATTTTTGTACAAATAAATATTTACAGATATGTTCTTTGGCACAATTATCTCTACACCTACAAAAAACCTGAAAGGAAATACAAGGAAATGCTAATAATTATTGCCTCTGGGTAACAGTACAAGTTATTTTTCTTTCATTTCACTTCTATAATCAAGGGGTGAAAAACCTACAGAATTTTTTTTTTTTTTAAGATGCAGCAGACGCAAAGTAAGGAGGTTCCCAAACTGGGGAATACATTAAGTGGAGGATGTCATAAATTCCTTAATTAGTTAGACATGTACCAAAGGACATGTTAAAAAGCAAACAGGAACTCAAAGAAAAACTGCGGTTTGTAAACTCTAACAGTGCTTACGACATTATGAAATGAATTAAGGAAACTCTTTTGCCTACACTTTTTAAAGATAATACGAATTATTCTCCTGATGCTGTTCCAAAAGTCCAGGCCCTCATATCTCTTGCTTGAATTACTACAGCAGCTTCCTAATCAGTCTCCTTGCCTTTGCCCTTCAGCAAGGACAAGAAACGTAATGGAAAAGGAAAAAAAAATAGTAATACTTCTCACTTAAACCAGAAATGCTGATGGTAACCAATCACTATTGTCTTCTGATTCCAAAAAAATAAAGTTTTGCCCCAAAACACCAAATTAAGACAAAGTTTCTTTATCGAGGGCAATGACATCATGATTTCACGACAAATAGGGTGACAGAATGTGTCCTGACAAAAGAACTCTGACAGAAAGCAAGAATCTGGTTAAATGTAGTCAGTTCTGTGCTTTGTCATCCTGATAGAAGTGATTTTCCTATTGTAGAAAACACATGTGCAGCATTTGTCCAAACATCAACACTCAACAGTATTGAAAACTTCTATACAAAAATCAAAGCTTTCTCAGAGTCGGTTAGCAGAGTTAATAGCAAAGGAAGAAAATATTTGAAGTACAAACCGAAAGAAGAAAACATATGTTTTCAGACAATCTGTGAAAAGAGTTTAAAAAAACCGGAGAGGCAGAACTATCTTAATGCAAGCTACTGAAGGGACTGAAGCCTTCTCTGCTGGTCTTGTGTGATTTGGAGAAAGAACAGTAAGGAGGAACCAACGTGGGGGGGGCGGGAACAGTCTAGTGAGATCAGGCGATAACATAAGAGCTAAAGGAAATCTGAAAAGAAAAAGAGGAGTAAAATGAGCTTGTTAAGAAAAAAGTAAAAATAAAAGCTCACAAGAGCACTCACTAACCATGGCAGAAATGTGCCTCCTGAAATCAGAAGTGGGAAACAGTGGGTAGAGATGCATGCCTGCATTCATCTGAGAATGAGTTAGAGGGAGGCAAGGGATTCCCCATCACTGCAATCTATATCTCCCCGCCTAAGGCCTCTAACAGCGGCCTTACTGTTACAAAGTAACTGTTTCTTTACAAAGAAACAGTCTCAGGGCAAAGCAGTGAGCAGATTTAAATGTCCTCAGACAAGAGCAAGATGGAGGACAGGTAGCGAAGAACAACCCAGGCACAGTTGCTATGTAGCACCATCTGGTTCATCTAGAAACCCAGACACTTGAGGCATCTCTAATTAGTACTTGTCTTCAGTCATTAGCAGGAAAATAGAGGCTAGGAAATGTTAATTATTATTGATTTGAACTTTGTTTTAAAAAGGCTTTCTCTGCCCTGTACCCTTTTTAGTTTATCATTCCGAAAAGTTTTATTTTAAAGCTCAGAGAAGGATAAGAATTAATCCTTGGGCGACAATGCTTTTGTTTTTACTTGGCAAACAGTATTTATATCTCAGGTAAGGGAACGGAGGAGCTGCAAGGCAATAACTTTCTTATTTTTTTAATTTTGTTTTAGTGACAACCTGAATCCGTGATCGCCACAAAAAAATGGGCCCAACCCTGCCAACCTCACTGTGACACAAGATGAGGCCTGTTTTGAGAGCAAGGGGAGGAATCACACGGCAGGGTTCTTTCCTGAGTCATTTTAACGTTCAAAACAGGTTAGGAAGAATGTAATTCTTTTGCCAAAAAATAAAAAAAACAACAACAAGCAATAATGTCTGGAATCATGAAAAACACTGACCCCAAATTAGGAAAAGCTGTGGAAGACCAGAAAAATGGAAGAGGGAAGCATGAGCAATAACAGAAAACATTACAAATTAGATGCAGAGGTGCTCTGGATGGTAAGATGAAGAGAAAATGTGGAGCAAAAGGGAGGTCAGCATGCAGGGTATCCTTCCTGAGAATCCAAAAAAGGGGGGGGAAAATTTCCAAAGGAGCAAGAAGGTGCATATTGTATTAAGCTTCATGCTAGGGATGATATGATTAGTACAAAAATAAAAGATACAATGGCATGGAAGCTAAAAGGGCCTGGAACAAATTATATATGGTCTTAGATGTCTATACATAAAAGTGCAAAGACTGAAAAGATGAGTGGCTATTAAAGAATTTGGAACCTTAACAACAGGGGTAAATATGAGTGCACAGTCATTACTGAAACCTGAGATATTCTACAATGTTCAGTGAAAACAAGCTGACAGAAGAACATGCTATCTCAAGAAAAATATGCACGTGCCCGGGAAGCCACAGACCTAGTGATGAAATGTGGTGAACTACATCTAGTGTGAGTTCAAAAGGAGGAAGAACATCACACTAATGGCCATATAATGAGTGCTCACCAAACTAAAGATGTAGAGGACATACTTTTAATAGAATGTCAACATTTCTGAGAAATAAGATAGTCATATCATGAGAGGCACTAATTATCTGAATATCTTCTGTTCATCATATTCCTCTGATAAATTCTATATTGCCTTCTGACAAGTTCTATATTTCAGAAGGAAAACGTGAGAGAAATCATGATTCTGGACCTCTAACCAATAAGGA